GACTACTTTGGCGAGGTCCAGCCAACCCTTTGTAGTACACTGCTGATGAGCCAAGCCTTGGAGGAGAGCATCTACCCAGAGTGATCCCAGGCCATCCTCAGCCACTGCCTTTTTTAATTCCTTCAAATCCTTTGTCTCCCAGGGATACCAGGGGTCAGGGCACACACCTCCTGGGTTTACATTAATGGGATACGCTTCTACCCGTGGCCTCACAGAAGCCTCCTGAGTGGGGCCAGAATCCTGAAAATGGGGACAGTTTTCATGGGTTTCAGGAAGCCCTGAAGCTGGCCAGGGTATACCTGAGGTGCCGCTTGTTACTTTGGCCACTTTTGGTTCCATTTCTGTTACATTTCTGCATTCTTCCTCAAACCCTTCCCATGATTCCCATGCCGGGGTTTCTGCAGGCTCGTCAGGAGGTGGCGCTGAAGGCTTAGGGCTCTTGAGCTGAAAGCATGCCTTTAAGGCCGAAATAATAGGGTAGAACTCCAGCGGCGGATCAACCCCTAATTGAACCTCCCTTTGTCAAACTAGACGTTCCACATGTTCCATGTATCCCCAGTAAAAACATTAGCCCCAAGTAGCCAGGGAGCCAAATGAACAGCCTCTGCCCAAATCTTTTGAGCTACCGGATCTGACAGATCCAATCCCCTGCTTTTAAGCATATCTCTCAGCACTTTAAGCACTGGGTCTTCAGGCTTATTAATTGTGTTACCCATCTTTCGGGTCTCGCTTACCCCAAACTTCCGCTTTCTGTTAATAGGATACTTTTCTATTAATAAAATGTTAAACTCTTGTTGCCTTGGCTGTTGGAATGGGAGAGTAATGTCTAGTCAAGCAGGGACTCATTTATTGCAGGTGTTACAGAGCTTATAAAGGCATCTGGAAATCTCCCTCCGCCGTAAGGGTGTATCTTAAGGATGATCACGTGCTGATCATACACTCCTCAGCAGTGCGGAAGTATCCTTCAGACTTTTAAAACAAGTCAGGCTGCGCCCCAGTAACTTCCTCTCGGACCTCTGCAAGGTGGGGCCTTTAGGTCCCCACATACATCAAAAGAAACAACCAAGGTAGTAAAGAGAAAACACACAGAATGGGAGAAAATCCTCACCAGCAACATATCCAACAGAGGTTTAATATCCAGAATATATAATGAACTCAAAAATCAGAGAGAACTAGACTGAGAGATTGGGTTGTACTGGGTGCAAAGGATTAAGGAGCTGAACAGAGAGATCTCAAAAGAAGAAAGATGGATAAGAAACATCTTAAAAAGTGTTCAACATCATTAGTAATTAGGGAAATTCACATTAAAACCACTTTAAGACTTCATCTTTCCCCAGTCAGACTGGCTAAGCTCAAGAGAACAAATGATCCCAAATGTTGGAGAGGATGTGTGGAAAGGGGAATGCTCATCTGCTGGTGGGATTGCAGACTTGTTCAACCCCTATGGAAAGCAGTGTGGAGATCTCTTTAGAAACTAAAAATGAACCTACCATCTGACCCAGTTATACCACTCCTCGGCATATACCCAAAGAACTCATCCTATTGCAGAGATGCTTGTACATCCATGTTTGTTGCTGCTCATTTCACAATAGCTGAGATAGAAGCAACCTAAGTGTCCCTCCACTGACAAGTGGATAATGAAAATGTGGGTCATTTATATGATGGAGTTTTCCTCAGCCATAAAGAAAGAAGAAATCATGAAATTTGCAGGTAAATGGATGGAACTAGACTCTCTTATACTAAGTGAAGTGACACGGACTCAGAAAAACAAAACAAAACAAAACAAAACAAAACAAAAGACATATGTTTCCCTCATATGTGGATCCTAGCACCAAATCCTTTTAAGTGAGTATGTATCCAGACATAACTACAGGAACCAGGATAAGAGGAACAAGGGAGGTAAAGGAAAAGAAAGAATCTGAAAGAGAACAGTTGGAAACAGGTGTTAATAAGGGAGATATGGATAAAAATAGGGTTATTTTAAGGGGGATGTTATACAAGGAACCTTGGGGATGAAGGGAAAGGAGACCAAGTGAGGCTGGACCATAGGAGAAGGGTATTATTAAGGGAGAAATGGGAAAAATTGGGGCACTTTAAGTGGGGACATCATGGTGGAAGGGTTAGACAATGCGAGAGATAATGCCTAGCTAGTTTAAAAAAATCCAGAGGGAACCATATTAATCGAACAACCTACTGACAAATTATACATACAACTAGCTCAAGGATTATAATACATATCTAGGCAAGGTTTATCTGAGAATGTTTGGTCTTTGCCTAAACTTTATCTACATAGCACATGGTAATTAAAAGTACCAAACTGGTGGTGAAACTAACTTTCTTGGATGTCTAACAGGCATACTTTGAGTCCTATACTAATTTGGTCAGAGGGACATAAAGGACAGTTTTTGCTTCTTGCCCTCCTAGGCTGTCTAACCTCAAGGGGACTATGAGCATCTCTCAAAATGTCCTTTAACTGTGTCGAATCACCTGTCCTCTTTATCAAGGAGGCTATGGAGATGCCACCAAATGGACTTGAACCAGTGTCCAGTCTACAAAGAGGAGGGTCAACATAGAGGAAACATTTCCTCCATGCTTCCACATGAAGCCAGCCATGGTCAAGAAGGACCTTTGACTTATCTTCACATAGATGGAACTGGTAAAAGAAAGGAGCCAGGGGCTCCTCCCAAGCCCATGTGACCCCTGAGGAACATATCCTCAATCCACCTTAAGAGTAAAAATACATTGATTTATCTGGACCAACTGTATGGTCTTAAACACCCAGAAGGAAAGTATATCCAAAGATTAAAGAGATCAATATAATTCTTTAAGTCCATGTATATATCTAAAAACTACATAACAAGAAACAATGCCAGACAGGAGATACCTTTCTTTGAGTTCTTTGCCAGGTGGCCCAAGTGTCTCCCAGAGAGTAACCCCACATAGAACTGGGAAAATAAACAGCAGACCCCAATCTTATCTAAAGGAATATTGGCAACTGACTGGTAGATGAGGAAGAGCTAATCTTCCTAAAACAAGGAATCTAGTGGGCTAGAGAGATGGCTCAGCGGTTAAGAACACTCGTTATTTTTGAAGACCTGGGTTCGATTCCCAGCACCCACATGGCAGCTAAGAACTGTCTGTAACTCCAGTTCCAGGGGATTCGACAGCCTCTTCTGATCTCTGAGGGCACTGCACAACACAGATGCACTTACCTACATGCAGGCAATACACTCGTACACATAAAACAAAAATAATAAATAATTTTTTAAAAAACCAAAAAATAAAACAAGGAACTCTAGATAGGCTGACTAGATTCCATGGATGGACAAGCACTTCAGAACAGCTGGGGGCGCCAACAACACAGTGGACAGGAGCAGGGATGACAGAGTATATGGACTCCAGTGGGAGGTGGAGGGGGTGAGGCAATGGGAGGGTGCCATTTGGGATGTGGGTACACAGATTAATTAGTTTGTTTGGGATTTTCTATATGAAATAAACAAAAAATCAACAAATAAAAATGAGTTATATTCGAGAAGCAGCATGAAAATTTGCTTCACGTTAGTTAGTAGGGGTAAAAAACAGTACTACTGAAATCTACCTGATAACTTATACCCATGCTCAGG